GGGAACGAACGCGCTATTGTCCTTTCCGGGGAGTAACGCGTTACTAAGTAAGCGAAATACAACCACAACGTTGCTGAGATATTTGCAAAACTCTGGACCGCAGGTTAGTAACCTGCCATGAAAATTATNCCACAGCAATCACCCGTCAGCGGGGTTGATCTGGGGAGCGCAAATCGGCATAGAACCCAGTTAAGCTATGGCTGTAGTTGAAATCACAATGTTTAACGTTTTGTTTTCTGCCTTCTATAATTTTCATGGCAGGTTACTAAGTAAGCGAAATACAACCACAACGTTGCTGAGATATTTGCAAAACTCTGGACCGCAGGTTAGTAACCTGCCATGAAAATTATAGAAGGCAGAAAACAAAACGTTAAACATTGTGATTTCAACTACAGCCATAGCTTAACTGGGTTCTATGCCGATTTGCGCTCCCCAGATCAACCCCGCTGACGGGTGATTGCTGTGGCAAAAAGATCGATAGAAATAGCTGAGAGACGTGCGAAACAAAGGACCCGCATGGTGTGGTGGTGAACGCGTTACTCCCCGGAAAGGACAATAGCGCGTTCGTTCCCCACCATAGACACCTGCGGTCCAGAGTTTTGCAAATATCTCAGCAACGTTGTGGTTGTATTTCGCTTACTTGGTAACCTGCCATGAAAATTATAGAAGGCAGAAAACAAAACGTTAAACATTGTAATTCGATTTACTTAATTCGGAATACCTCATGCTCTTGCACCATCAAAATATTAAAGTTATTGCCAATTATCATGTAATCAATACACATTATTAATGTAGCAATTTTGTCAAATACTTCCACTATCCATACCGTACTCCACTCCACAAGATCTTCTTACTTTCGCTAGAAGAAACCCATCATCGCTATAACAATTTTGCATTGTTGTTACACGAACAGCACTTCCTAATTTAATCTCATGCACTAAGAAACTCCGGTATAATGTTATACAACACTATCAGTGCAATCTGTTTGGCATTCTACAACTGCCCACTGAACCAATTTGCTTTGTAACTTAATGTATATACAGTCCGAATCTCATTGAATTGTCGTGTAAATTTCATGTATATAAAAATATTAAGTACATAAACGGCTTAAGTACCCAAGTTTGAGGCCTGGTAAATCGCTAAACCTCATGGGGACCGGTTTGGCAGAGCCATCATCATAAACAACAATGAAAATCTTCGCTATACCGCCACAATAGAGAACGTCATGCAAACACTGGAACAGGACATGGGAATAAAAATCGATGGTCAGAAATTTCACGATCTTCGCTTTGCTGATGACATTGGTCTTATAAGACCAAACAATACCAAAGCGGAACGAATGCATGTCGACTTTGATAAAGCCTATAGACAGAGTGTCTTCAAATAAATCCCACAAAACCGATATTCACGAGGGACGGACTGGTTACGCATTTACATATGCCCCGTTTTAACGTTCAACAGAACGAATACCTCCGAATGCTACATTTAATTCTATGTAGGTCCGGAAATCGACATCGTGAACGACTTAGCTACAGAACTGAGCAGAAGGAAACAAGTGGCTTGGGTAGCTTTCAACAGCATCGCATGTAAAGAAGAGAACAAAGAACACCAGACTCTGTGCTCATCTTCTCGACTCCAGATACTTCTTGCGTTGACGTATGCGTCAGGAAAGTGGTCCCTACGTTAGAAAGATGAAAGATCTCTCAGCGTTATTGAACTATCGGAAAGGACGATGCTAGAAGTGTACTGTGTCAAGCAAGTGAAAAAAGCGATACGAAACTCCGACCTTTCACCATAAACAAATTAAAGTTTTCTTAATGGTCTTAAACACTTGCAATGTTTTACGTATTCTGCACCTCACAAAATCTTCTTCTTCATTGCTAAAACAAACCTGTCGTCGCTATCACATTCTTCCACAGTGGTCATGTAAATACTTACGATGTTGCAGTCATACTAATATTGTTACCTAAACAGCATTTCCCAGTTGTATCTCACACGCTCATAAACCTCCTGCACGATGTTCTACATCATTGTTAGTGCAATTTGTTACCTATAATACTAGTGCCCACTGATACAATTTGCTTTGTAGTTAGTTGTGCATACATATCTAATCTCATTACACTGTCGTTTAAATAAAACGTATATAAAGGGTTTGATTAACCAAGCTTGAGCTTTGGCATGTCACTACAAAAAGAACACCTGCGTGGCAGAACCATCACACAACAACGAAAAACCTACGATATGTTGTTTTTCTGACGATATTGTCATAATCTTAAGAAGTAACAGTAAACCTGAGTATAGCTGAAGAATAGAAGAAGGGAAAAGAAAGACTGAAGTCCACATGCTTCATGATATACAGTTAACAAAAAAAAAACGGATGCGAAGGTGGACAAATACTTGTGCCTTCAATGAAGATGAAAAACAACATGAAAGGAGAACAGCACCGAAAAAATAGCGAAGCATGGTCCACATGCAGGACCCTCAAGAAAGCCAGAGACCAACTCACACTTTGCACTTAGTGGACGTCTCAGGGATCTATTATGCTGCACACACGTGGAGGGACATACAACCATGTCAAGAACTTTGCGCATCAAACGCGGTGTTTTGACGGGGCTTCAAAAAAATAACCGCCTAAAGGTACCGCTACGTCTGACTGTGCAGTTAAGAGCTGCACTGTGCCACGTCGACTAGCGGTGCTCCCGGCAAGACACGATATATGTGTGGGTAATGAAGTGATACACGCAGACTTCGCTACGTTGAAAGAACACCACCCGAGTTTAAGCGATGTATGATTCATATATGACCCATGTGATGAAAGAAACAAGGCCATGAGAAAATCTTAGTAAACTTTCCATAGTGACATCATATTTGGCAATCTTTTATAACTCTCAGCATGTCGCGCATCCATTGAGCTCAATCACTCATATCGGTGAGTGTTACTTTCAAAACTTCACCCATAGGAAACATTAAAGTTCTAACCTCCAAGAAGCCTGATTACTTCATCAGCGGCAGCACGTCCTGATTCAGCTGATTCACTGTCCAAAATGAGTTTCGTTTTGAAGAAACTGAAAACACATAGAAATGGTAGGCAAAAACTTGCAAATGAACGAAAAACAGGGTCTTCTTTACAGTTTTAGATTTGGACCACATATATACCTGTTGTTTATGACCGGATATGACCCAATTTCTACAACTCCATCGTATATTGAAGCGATTTTCGATAGCTGTTGAGCGAATCTCAATTCATCTTGTGATGTATACAAAGTTTCCGAAAACAAAGGCTTCAATGACAATGAAAAAATCTGGCCCTGAAAAATTCTATGCTACTCAAACACGAATTTGGTGGTTTAGTTAGAACTAATGCTTATTCACATGAACCACGAAACTATTAGTTAGGATGCTCGAAAATTAATGCAGGATTTGCAATTCCATCTTTTTTCTATGTGTCTTAGCAACAACTTTTTTGTATGCTATAGTAATACATTTCAATAGAAAGCATAGTTTATTTACTTCCGATCTGAATTACTGATTAAAAACTTTCTGAAGTATTTATGATTTGCAATGCAAATGTCATTTCCGACAAAGTCTAATGTTTAGGATTTGAGACATCAAGATACAATTTCGATAAATCTGGCTGTCCCCTACCGATACCACTTATTCAAGCATTTCGACAATTTCCTGTGCGAGAACTGTTTCAGAAATCAGAAAGTACCGAAACTGCCTACGTCGACTCCATTGCCTCCAGATCTTCAGGATTTCATTCAACAGGAATTAATAACTTTGTTTTTCGTTGGCAAAAATGTGTAGATTCCATGATTCGTAACCTGATTAATAAGGTTTATTTATCCACTTTAAATTTGTGCAGACAAGAGTTATCCCAACTTAAATCCTCATGTTGAAACCACGTTTTAATTTCCGAACAACCCAACAACTACCAATCATAAGCAAACAGAGCAGATCGTTAAAAAGAAGAACTTGATATTACATATTAACTTGTTGGTTCTTGTAGTAATAACCCAACTCATAAACTTTGAATATCAAATGTCGTTACCTTGATTTCGTCGAAAGCTTGTTCACAGAAAATTGGCACGCCCGGTAGAGCGATAACGTTATGCAATCGTACAACAGGAAATCTGATCTGCTTACCATGAAGAGAACAATTACTCCAAAGCAGTTCGGCGGATTTAGGAATCTGAAACTTAGAGCAGTATGTTAGCCTTCACCTTTCACCAAAGCTTTAATTTAAAATTATAACGTTGATGCGAAAGAGATTAATATAGCTCCAATTAGAATTTAGCTGTTACCGTTGTATACATCCTATCAACAATAGTAAATACAAAAAAACTATTAAATTCAATCATGCAATGAGAACATAATGCGAGAAAGAAGTTGAAACATTACCATGCTTAACTTATCCGCAAATTCAGCGCTTTTGTTTGATAACTCTGAATTTGCAAAATACTGTTCTATTGCTGAAACAATGTCGGAGGATTTTTGTAGTTCTTCATCGAACGCACGAGCTAAGCCTAAAAGTGTGCAAAAAATTAACATACTTCGATAGAAGCCATAACCCTTCTAGACTTTCACATGCAATGAACAGATAAAATAACATGACGGATCTTGTAATAAATCCCAGGATCGATTTTCTGTTAATTTCGGCAGTGGTCAAAAAAGTTACTCCTTGTTTGATGTGAAAAGTTGCTAGTACTACATGCATTCCACACAAGACAACGTTTAGGCGGACTTGGCTTTTTTTCATAGCACGGAATTCGTCACACAGTTGGACAATCTACTCAACGAAATACTTCCACAAATTTAGCAGAGAAAAATCACAATCACTGGCCTTGTAAATGTACGGAAATTCCTCTAACACAACGTAGGAATTGCTCGATATGCACAACAGCAAATTCGAAAAACAATCTCGTTTGAACAGTTTAGAGTAAATAAGCGAACGGGTGTCCCCAAAAAACACGAATCTACTGCATTCCACACCAAGCGGTCTTAACGCCTAATAAAAACACCCATAGTTGCCGCATTGGCGAAATAGATTAAGCGAGGCGCAGTCAAGTACTTTATCTTCATTATAAAAAAAGAACGAAACATAACTACTGAGGTGTCACCATATTGCCTCGCCTAGCACTGGCAAGTCATATACAAATACTCTCGAGATATGTCACTCAATTAGAAACGGTTATAACTAGGATCAAAGATGCGCAGTTAGAAGAGATGAACATTCGAAACAATGTGAAATAACGCTCACCTTCTTTAACAAGAGCCTTACAACAGCTAGAAGAACGGGTTGGAACCCTAGAGAATACGACCTCAAAAGCTTAATACGCACTGGACGAACTTGCTACAACCTCCAGACATCAATAAAGACAGACAAAGCCACTCAAACCCCACGGGTACCAGAGGCAGACGCCAGAACGCAAACATGCTAGCAATGTTTTCGTGCGGCAACACAGAATAAAACACAAATCCACAACAAATACGGCTAATGTTACCCAAACACAGCGCTTTCACTCAAAAACACAAACTAGTACCACGACACAAACACTACTCAACAAGCGACCAGGCACCTCATCAACAGCTGTGCAAACGGAATGATGTTTCCCGAGAACCCTAGATATTCTTGCGCAAAGGAATATACAGAACATTATTCATAAATATGGAATGTTCTCTATTCGTTCATACTGTGTCAAATCGCTTAGTCATCTTCTAAAAGAAAAGTTCTCTATGAACTTTCTCACGACGATCTGATAAACCGTATACACTGGATACGCTCTTATCTCATATAAACGCTCGTGGCTACCGTATTATACTTCGAATCTCGACTTATCAGATTGTACTACCTGAGAAACTTTCCAGCACTTTTTGTTAGCAAACTATGTCTTCGTTCAATCTAGACTCACTTCGTCCATCATGGAATGAATATAAGCAGCCCATCAGTTAGCTAATCTCAGTTCGTTTACCAGTGCTTTTCCGTTTCACAATTTTCGTCTTCTATGGCTACCACTGTACTATTGTTGTTGTTACTACTATAATAACCTGGTAAAATCCAGCGTCTCAAGGTAGCTCAGTAACTAATTACGCAGAAGTCCCGCACGACGAATACAAAAAGCGACCAGTCAATCAGACTAATATTCACAACTAGTTAGCACTCACATAATAGTGGACATCACCACACAGTGGAACAGGACGACTTATAAAGCATAAAACGGTGAGTGCTTAAAAGAAGCTGATTCTTGTGCGACTTGAATTTTTGTTTTGAATTCTCTCTGCTAGCACTGGGTAATTATTCGAGGAAAATGTGCATCAATTTGATCTTTCCAAGCTCTGGAAACGGTGGAACATGCCGAAAGATTAGCCGCCTTTGAAAAAAAATTGTAAAAATCTCCTTTGTGCTGGTAAAGAAAGTACTAATTTGATGTGGTTCAGCAACAACAGGTTCTGAGAAAACACTTAAAAATAACCTCGTATTTGCTGATCAAGAAAACAGTGAATTAGTTGACCAATATCGAAGAAAGTAGAATGTCGGTCTTGGGAATTCCTGCTTAAAACAGTTCTAAAACATACCTAGATATGTCACATCGTCGTGAGTTGGACCAACGCCACCCGACGTGAAAACATAGTCAAATCGCTTACTAAAGGTACGAATTTCATCGCTAATGTCATCGACGTTGTCACCAATGGTGGATATCTGGAATAAGAACTTCAAATAATGACACCATCGAGTTTGGTGAAAGCCATTCAATATTGGATAGAAAGAATGAAATTTAAGTAAAACGGCCAAAAGTGCTGAATCTCAACTAATACTAATCGTCTCCATGCCTCTTAAAAATGACAGTTTTTTACTTCACCCGACATTACACATTGTGCGAATGCCCGTTCTTCATTCATGCGATTCGTTTTCACCCACCCATCATCCAAAAGGATCTTCCTGTCTGCGTAATGCTTCTGCTGTTGCTTGAGGATTTTGTTCTTTAATTTAGTGTTTTCCAGATGAGTAGACACATATAAGTTAATTCTTTCTACTTCTGTTCAGCAAACAAGAGGTGTTATTTTATTTCTTTATTTACGTACAGGCTGACGTTTCGGCGGATTTCGGCTCCCTCAGAGCCTGGAAAGGTCAAGTTGACAACAATCTATTCGTCCAAACACCTTCATAACCAAACAGAGAAAATGCTAAACCAAGACTTCTATCACATTTAACACAGCTCTGCACACTCACCGATTTCTATGTCTTCCACTGAGTATGTTGCGTGAAAACCAACCGCTCAGAATCCACACGGAAGCGTAATATGCCCCTCTCATAAGAATAACAGAATTATAAACTGCCCAATATCACGCGGGATAATGAGGCATTCTTCCCTGAGGTTCAGTTTCGGATTTCTAGAATTAATCCAGAACGCCTCGAGAGTTTTGCGCGCTTGTGTTTTCGACTCCTGTGCGAAAATCATCACTTCTGCTTCAAAATCTTCCCGTTATGTCTCTGTATCTTATGCGTGCCTAGTGGAGTATTTCGTTTATGTTTGCCGGCTAAGTGTTCTTTTATGCGGACACAGAGGGGTCTGCCCGTTTCGCCAATGTATTCGTTTCCGCACGCCTTACAGATCTGATAAACTACACCCGAGCTCATGCAATCACCGTCTTCACCGTTGGGGCAAATTATGCAATTTTGCGTTGCACATAGACGGTCATATAGGCGGTTACGAACTAGCTTGCGCCTAAGATTATTCGGTGGTATGTCAACTACGTTTACCGAATTCCCTAGACCCGCTCTTCTTAGGCAGCCTTTCATAGATGCACTTACATCATTTGAGATGAAAGGTAGGATAAACGGAACCTTTTTATCGCTACAGCTGTCGCTTGGGGGCCTCCCATTTCCCCTACACCTATCCCGAGCTACAGCTTCGTAGCCATTGGAAATGGCTATTTGCCGCGCCAAGTTCCGGGACTGCTCTCTCTGCTCTCTTCCCGTGCACACGTTGGTTGCTGTTCGAAACATGTTTCCTACAACCGCTCTTTTCGTGTGGGAGGTGTGAGAAGAGAGGTAATGTACCAAGACGTTTTTACTACTTGGCTTTCGGTACCACTTCGTAATGTAACCATTTTCTGACAGGTTAATTCGGACGTTCGGGAATGAATGGAAGCCATTTTTCCTTCGGTTTCTCTCGGGTAAACTCGATATACCCTGACTGTTTATTCAACAAATCGACACATTTGTCCATTTCCTCTTGTGTTGAGCAAAGGACAAAACAGTCGTCTATATTTCTACGGTAGAGTGGCGGCCCGAGATGAGAAACCGGTGCTTCCACCTTAAACATAAACGCAATGACAAGACTTGGTGGCAGTTGTTGTCCTATTGCCCACCTTCTTATTTGACCGTAGTGCTTTCCGGACCATCCGAAGATTGTGCAGCTCAAGCATTCTTTTAAGAGTGCCATCAACTGCTCTATCCTGAAGCCATACATGTTTATTTTTCCTTCGTGTTGTACAAGGAGCTCGAATATAGCTTGCATTGCGGAGTCATTCGACACGTTTGTATAAAGGGCAGTAATGTCGAAGGACTCCATCACGCATGCGCTGTTGTGCTGCGCAGTACGTAGACGATCCAGAAACATCTGGGTATTCGCAAGATGGGCTGGAATGTGTTCCAACAACTGGTTAATTATTAGGGTGAAGAACCATGTTATCCTAGCCGTTGCCCCCCTCAAACCTCACTGAAGTGCCGAATACTAGGCCCCCAAACGACAACTATAGCGATGAAAACGCCCCGTTTATCCTACCCTTCATCTCAAATAATATAAGTACAGCTATAAAACGCTGCTTAAGAAGGGCGGCTTAGAGAATTCGGTAAGCGTAGTTGACATGCCACCGAATAATCTTAGGCGCCAGCTAGTTCGTAATCGCCTATATGACCGTCTATGTGCAACGCAAAATTGCATAATTTGCCCCAATAATAAAGAATTTCGGCGAGATGGTATAGCCGTACCTAACCCCTCTTTTGACGTCAATATTAATATCGTTGTAGAGTGGTGAAATCCTGGTTGTGAAATTTTTGTACAGCTCACGAAGAATCTTTATGTACTGAGTAGAGACTCCTTGACTACTAGGGGCTTCCATGACTGCTTCTATTGCAACTGAGTCAATAGTCTTCTCTAAATCGATGGAAGGTAAACAGAGAAGTCTTTTGTACGCTCACGATACTACAACGAATCTTCTTATCGTTTGGATATGGCCCATCGTATAAGTCCTTTTCCAACCGCTGCTTACTCAAATGACTGTCCTTTACCTAGTGTTCTGTTATTCTTGTTTAGGATGACTCGAGTGGAAAGTTTGTAGACGACAGACAGCAAGCAGATTGGGTGATTGTTGCCGATGTCGTGTAGTTCACCCCTCTTGAACAATAACGCGGTCTTCCTGATCTTCCACTGAGTAGGAACCTTGCATTCAAACAGGTAACGTGTGAAGAGCCGAGCCAGTTGCCTCCAAAAGAGCCATCTGCTTGATATTATTTGTGTTAAGACCTGGGAGCAGATGTGATAACAGTGGTTAGAATTTCGCCCGCATCAATGAGTGAATTGTGGGTACAGATCGTCATGTAAGTCCTTTACGATTTGAGCAACCTAGAATGGCTCCCAGGTTTTAGCAGTCTCACGTACGCGTCCTACCCAATGCTGCCAAATCGTGAGCTCATTAGGCATGCAGGGAATGATGTCTGTTTATTTTCCTCTTTTAGTTTTTTGATACAAGTTATAAGTTGTCAAAAGAGAATGTAAAGGCAAGAAAAACGAAATGAGCAATAGGCGAGTGTTTTAGTTAAATTTTCCTTGAAATTAGAACGTTCAGAGTTGAACGGAGAGAAAATAACGGCTGATTAAGCGAGACAAATATGAAAATTGGAAATAACAATTTCCTATGTACATCGAAAATTGAGGACGATTTATTACCGATGAGTAGAAGTTGTCCTATGCGATTCGTACACTTCTTCATTTCTATCAACATCACATTTTCTTTGATGATATTTTAGAATTTAAAGCCATCATAATTTTTGGCTCGGTGTTTGAAAATAGCTGTCAATATGAATCAGTGACACAAAAATCATAGATTATAAATACGGCCAAGTGCACTGAACTGAACTTTTGCAATACATGAATAAAAAAATAGAACTTTCCAAGAGTTATATGGGAAAAAATCGTTGGGAGAGGCTGTGACCAACAGACTGAAATAAAACACAGTAGGTTCGCAAAAAAAAAAAATTTTCACCATAATAGAAGCGTGTTGCGCGGAGGTAATGAAGCACTTCAGTAGGAACTAAGTGCTGATTTACCTCTACAGAAATCTCACCTCAGTTCCCATCCCCTCGGGGTCACGAAATTAGTACCGGCTTAGTTTGCAATCAGCTGACTTCCTCCAGTCGACAATAAATGGCTTGCCACTGTCATGAAGACCAGGGAATGTCCCAGCATGTCTACCTTGGGATTCCAGGACTCGATCAGCATTTTCATTTATAAAAAGCAGAAATACAACAACAAAAGTTCACAGGCAGCAGCGTAGCTCATACGCAAATCCGGAGACTCCTGTGCGACTGATACGAGGAAACAAATCGAACGCAAGAAGTGCCGAGACTCGCACAGCGCATGATGTGCAGTCGTGTACGAAAATTGCACTCGAAAAGAAAAAAGTGGACTTTCTATTAAATTGATTCCATGGAAAACTTTAATTCCATTAAAAGAAACAAGTACTGCTTTTTACACAAGATAAAGTATTCTTAAGCTATCCATTTCGCGAGGTGACGTATTGTGAAAGTTCTCAATAGGCAGATGTCATCCTTTCCCGATGACAATCGGCAGATAATCTTCACTCTTTTATTTACTGCCTTTTTCTTCTTAATGGCAGGGTATGTTGTGAAATATAACTCGTATGAAGTGCTGAGATATCTGCAAACTCCGGACCACAGGTGTATGCAGTGGGGAACGAACACGCGCTGCTCCCCGGTAAGGACAACAGCGCGTGTTCGTTCTCCACTGCATACACCTGTGGTCCGGAGTTTGCAGATATCTCAGCACTTCATACGAGTTAATAGGCAGATATTTATTACGTTAGAATATGAACACTTGGTGACTTAGACCATATCTTCACTTATTACTTCATTCATTTAGAACAGAACCCTAGTAAATCATATAATGACCACTACAAGCACGGAGGAAATTCCATTTTACGCACACTTTAGGTACTGTTTATCAACAGACACAATGAATGTATTGGAGCGTGTTCATAAACATATTATAGTCGATGAACTAGTAGCAGGTGTCGCTTCGATCTCAAAACAAACAATATTTCGGAGGTCTTATTTCTGCACTGTATGATTATAACGGCACGGCAGGTGAACCCATCTTCTCAGCTTTCCTAGAAGTCAGCTTTAAAAATATGAAAACAACCGTTTTCGTGCAAAATCAGGACTCTCGGTCAGTCGTTTCGGTCTCTTTTATTTCGTAATTTTCAGCTGCTCATGGAACTGTTCTCGATGACCTCTAGTACGGCTCCAGCAACTTCCACGAGACATAACCAGCGATCAACGGTAGACGAACAGCATCAGCTAGATCTTGCAAGCCAAGTTTCTTTTCAGTTGATGAACCTTTATTGATAGACAACCAGGAACGTGAGACAGTGTCCTCGTAGAACGCCTCGCCCTCCCCAGTCATATTACCACTCAGGAATTTTCGGCGGAAAAAGCGAAGGATCGGACATCTATAACTGCCGATTCGCATTGACCTACCCTGTGTGGTCGGGTAGAGGGTGTTTGATAGAATAACACCTCATTTCTCACTAGCCCACCGTGTTAGCGTACCGGTCAATGCTGATATGCGCAAACTCAAGTACCTCCTTCAACAGGAGTGTGCTCGGGTCGCCCTTAGCCTGTCACGTAGTATATCCTCGTCAAAGGTTACCAGCTATTCAAATAAAAACAGAATTCCGCAGGTTGTTTCGTTCTCAACAAACTATTTAAACCGGAACTGTTGTTAGTCATCTTCACGGTCATCATCATCGCACGCTTACAGAGCATAGTGGTCCAAATTCGCCTGCTGTCCATCTCCATTCGTTGTTATTTACCTATACCATGTTCATATATATAACTATTTACAATGCTTTAAGAAACTCTTCAACACTACAGTTTGATTTGAACGCGCACGGTTTATGGGCACTTACGTTCCAACTTAAAAACTTTAGAAAAGGAATCACTGTCTTTTTAATGCATAAAAGATATTTCGCTCTTATATGTCTTCCATAGAAAACTGAATTTTTTCAATCAGTTGACGTGTGTGACGACTAATTTCAATGATTAATTAAATGCCATCCTCAGACCATGCGATAGTGAATGCGGAATTCACTAATGGCTGTTGTAGAGGAAATGCTCACTATTATGGTCTGAGAAGAATAATAAACAGTTGTCCTTCAATTCTGATCATTTTTTCTTTAAAATACCAGTCGGTTAGTGCTAAAATCTTACCATTATGCGCCCCATAAGGAGTGATAAGACCTTGGCTTGCTGAATCGCATATCAGAAGTGCACACGGGTTGGTTTTCCCATACATTCTTCGCTTAGATTGAACTGCTTTTATCATTATGGTCAAAAATAATCGAAGAAAACATGTAGATTGTTGGGAAGATACAATTACCTTTCTCAAGTGCACACCAAGCTCGTGCAAATTCTTCGATATGAAGTTTGAGTTTGTGTCCATAGTTGATCCTTTTAGTATTTCATCACCTATCACTAAAACAAGGAGTCTATAGAAATCAGTGCTTTTTTTTCGTGAGAATTCTGCAATTGCATAAAACTTACCTATTAGGCCAGCCGTTGGCCTCATTTTACGAGCAACACGCATATGATGAAGTGCGTTTAGCAACAGTACTTTTAACATTAGCCAATTGCCAGCTTGAAAACACCCAGCTGTTTGTCACGGATGTAGACACCAGAAGACGTTACAGACGCTACAGATATGAAACAAACCTCTTAAACATAGGCTTGAATAATCTGCTGTATTAGCCTAATAGGCACATTCGCGACGTCACTTGCTATAGGGTGGAGGACATATTAATCATTACAACTTCACATCCACTAACTCACCACTGGTTTATTCTGGCGCAGAAAACTGTATTTCTGCATTTTTTGCAGTCTTCACACATTACTTATCCAACACAAACATTGTACCCCGTTTTCACTCAGAAATGTTAAATTCTAAACTTAATTTTAAAAATGAAGGGAGCTTATTACTGTACGAGTTTATTTCATGGTGTCGAGAAACTGGCGGTGAAGAACATAGAATACATAAAACAGACTGTTCCCAGTGGAAGGTGCAGAGACGTCCATGGGTGTACCTGAAGTTCCACACTTCTTTTCTTCCCTCCGATCTTTCTGCTCTTTCTCGTTCTCTTTCCAATCTTTCTGCTATGATTAAATGGTCATCAGGCACAGACGTATAGGTCTAACGGTAATAACAAAGCACAGGGCCTTGAAATATCTCTAAACCTACAATTAACGTATAAGACTTTTTTGATCAAGAACTTACCGTGCATGTTATTGGTATACGTTGAAAAAGAAACCTGGAAGGACCTCACGAATGTCACCCACGTTAAGCTGAGGGAAGAGAGGTAAAGAGGAAACTATGGGTCGCCAGAATGCTTCTCCCTGTTTACTACAAAGTTCATAAATACGAAAATGTAGCCGACTTAGCGTAGTCAACACCCAATTATAAAGAATGCTCGGCCGCATGAAGCGTAAGAAAGCTACGCTAGCCAAGTATATCCGTTGTTACGAATGTATAACTGCAACTTAAGAGAAAGCATAGCCATAGAAGCTGAGCCAGAGAGATTTGCGCTCGAATTGTTGGTGAAAAAATAACCATGTACTTCCTTTGAATTCGGTAAAACCATTGCTACACCTCTGACCACGAAGTAAGACTTTTCATTGAAAAAAAATTATAGTCAAGACAAAAAAGCACCACCAGAGCTAAAGAAAACTCCTAGAATAACCATTCCTAAAATTACTAGACAAGCAACAGCTATTTAAAAAACTCTGCAAACTGTAAAGGTTTAATTGACTGCTCCGCAAAATAAACTAAGAAGGAAAGAAAAATGGGTCTACCCGTAAAGCGTAACGCTCATATAACATGTTAGATCGGCGGTCGAACATCAAAACCAAATACGACCGCAATGGTCGTAAATTAGAAACAACTGCATTACAAATCTAACTCGAAAGTATTAAAAATAAATCCAACAGATATAACTTCCATGAGAAAACAATAGTACAAGACATATCAGGTCCCCATCACTCGCGTAGCACGTTGTTTTCTTCTCTGTTTGCGACTCAACGAGTCTGGAGTGTACTCAAGAGGGGATGCTACCTGAATAGCGATCAATGATGGTAAACAATAAACCACAAAAGACATAATAAAGTGCTCGGTAGTGATTCTAAGGAGTGCGCCATGCATTCGACTTCACTAATTGTCGTTATAAGTGGCTGAACACATATCTGAACTACACAATGAATTGCAGTTGCTCGTCGATGGACCAATTCTTTATACCAGAAGACAATTATTGTACTAAACTGCCAACCCCGAAAGGATCTCAAACTAGCCTATCACGAAGCGCGAAATCGAATCAGTGCTTGATCCAACTTACATTGCAGGGAACAGCACATGAACATTAATTATATTATACTCATTCTTTGCTGTATAACGTGTAGTCCCATTGATCGTCGAGTGACTCGATAGGGCATCAGTAAATATTCCATCTTTCCCTGTCGAGTACAAGAGTAGCCCAGTGGGTTCTGCTCGATCTATGAACTCGTTGAGCAACATATCTTTCTTGCAAGGTTTTCGTGAAAAATTTGAACATTAGGTCGGTGGCTTTATTGCTGTACTTTTAACATTACGCGAAACCCAGTTACTATTGGCTCCTGATCATCGGTTGTCGTTCATAAGTATTACGTGCCCGGCGCACCGCATCTTCGACAGTTTGGCGTACGGAACGGCATCTACGATGTGTCATCGTTGACATCGGTCGGACGCTGAGTGATCTTTCACAATGCTTACGCAGCGTCCCCGTTTCTTATGCATGCGTTAAGGCAGAACGAATAGCTGAGTCGAGAAAGTGGACATCGAGTTTCCTTGCTTTCTTCAATGTATCCTCAATACTCCTCAAAGCTCACCAAGCCGCTCGTTTCCTCCTCCTCAACTCTGCAGCTAAGACGTTCTTCATGTTGATTTTCCGACTTAAACAAATGTAACTGGAGGATTCGGAGATATTCATTTCACTGAGCGTGAAAGGTGCATAGATAATCAAACCGCTTCTCAAGAATATCGTCTGCATGAGATTTAGTAGGAAAACAATCGTTCCACACAACTTCTCAAAATTGGTAAACATTCATTTGTTCTCCCTGAGTAAGCCAATGTGCAACAAGCACTATGTCATCAACAAAGCAAAGATGCTGCAGTTACGTACCATCGACTTCCGCTTTAAGCCACTCGTGCCCATATCAAGTTCTCGAATATAGCAGTAAATAATTTTGGCCAGATGACATCACCTTACCACACCGTCTCTTGCTGTCGATGTGAACATCGTTATAGAACGGTGATATCTTGGTTGCGGAAATTTTACGCAGCTCATGGAGAATTGTGACATACTGAGTAGAGACTCTCTGACCTCTCTGACTGTCCATGGCTTCCAGGACTGTTACTATCTCAACTGAGTCAAAGGCCTTCTTACAACCGATGAAAATGGGACAGAGTGGTCCTTTGTACTCACGCGATACTTCAATTAGTCTTGTTTTCGTGTGGATACGGTCCATCATACTGAATCAGTTTCGAAACTCAGATTGGTCGCATAGGTGTCTTTCATCAAGTGTTCTGTCAATCCTGTTTAGGACGACTCCGGTGAAAAGTTTGTAGATGACGGAGAGCAAGCAGATCGAAGGATATTTCCCCATATCGTGGAGGTCATCCTTCCTTAACAATAACACGGTCTTCCTAGTCTTCCACTGAGTAGGAACCTTGCATTCGGACAAGTAACGTGTGAACAGCCGGACCAGTGTGTTTACGAGGACTTTTGGAAGGTTCTTCAACTGTTCAGATCTTATCCCGTCCAGAATTGGTGCTGTTTTCGAAAGGGAGAACAGGTGGTACAACATGTCCATCCTCCTCTATTTCATATAACGGAAGGTGAACGTGGCTATCGAAGTGATCTGAATAGTATTCGTGAATGATTTTCTCCACTGCCTTTCTGGACGCTGTAACTGTTCCGTCCGGGCGTCGAAGTGCAATCACCTTGGTCTTGTAATTGGCGAAGCTTCAATGGGCTTTGCGAATGCTTTTGCCAGCCTCTGCATCTTCAACCATAACTGCTGCTCTTTCTTCTTTAATGTCCTCTTTTATTTCCCGTCACCAATGTTCCGCAAGTGCGGACGTGAGTTGTCCGCTGCATGTAGCTCGTGCGATTCCACTACAGCTGATCAACTTGAGTGTTTCTCGAAGTAGACGTCTCTTGATGACTTTCGAGCTCTCAACTTTCATAGCGCTAACGTGAAGATGTTGAATGAGCCGATCACAATCTCGTCGATGTTATCGAAAACGGCATCTTCTCAACAGCCGACTAATGAATTGAATAAATCCTAGTTAATAGCAGTTCTAGAACTTCGTTCTTTTGAATTTAGCCGCTTTTACTCCTTTCCGCAAGAAGTGAAATCTTGGACCGAATGAGGACATGATCTGCT